AGAGAGAGAGAGAGAGAGAGAGAGAGAGAGAGAGAGATCAACTCAACTGCAGGACATGGCAAGTCGCCAGGCTTCAAAGAAGGAAAAAGGCTGAGTGCAGGAAATGAAAAGCCAGGGAGGGCAAAGGGCAGGTCTGGATCGAGCACCTTTAAAAAAATGTTTTAAAATGTCTTTTAAAAGGGGGTTGACAGGAAAATCATGTGGGGGCTGTCCCTTTAAGAAAGGGTGTGGAGCCCCAAGTAGCCCCACCGTACCTGTAGGCCTGCTGTAGAACAGTAGGGTGTATGGGGGGGGTGAGATTAAAAACGAGGGGCTCCCTCTAAGCCCCCCCCAGCTTTACATTACCCCTTCCTCCACTTTTCCTGCAAAACTGAAAAGCTATTCGCACGCCCATACGCGTAATCTTCGTGGGGGTGCCGCCCGCCCCCGCCGAAATTTTCAGGAAGGTACTCAGCCTCCCCCGGGGGCCACCTTTGCTCCTAGCACAGCAATGCCTCTGACCCAGCCCCAGCTCCCCCCCCGGGAAATTGGAAAGTCTACACCCTTGCGCACGCCTCCCAATGACTCACCGAAGAACCACCAAGGCAAAGCTGACTGAGCCTGGAGACACGACTGGGGCGCTTTTCTGCTGCGCTTTTGCAAAGCCCGACTGGGAAAGAAGAAACTGGGCAACTAGAGAAGCTTCTGGCCTCTCCCTGGTCCTTGTAAAGCAGCCCCGCAGCTTGGGAATTTTTTGTGACGGGGCCGCCAGCTAATTAAATCAAAGCACAATGCAGGGCGGGGGCAAGTTGGAGCACTTTGGGGGCAGCCCAGGAAGGAGGGCCCCCAGAAGAAATACTAAGGGCCTGCCTGTGAGGTAGGCGGGGCTGACAGAGCTCTGACAGAGACTGCTCTTTTTCAAGAACAGCTCTTATCAGAACTATGGCTTGCCCAAGGTCACCCAGCAGCTGGGAGTGGAGGAGTGGGGAATCGAACCCGGTTCTCCCAGATTAGAGTCCAGCACACTTCACCACTACAAGGAACTGACTAGAGGACCAACAACAGGGCAGAGGACTGGAGGGCCCCCCCCCCCCATGTTGCCTCCATTCAGAGGATTGGCTGTTTGACTCCGTGCCAGCAAAGGTGCCATTTTTAGCTACTCTTCTTTCCTTGTTGTGTGGCATCCTTCAGAACAAGCAAGCACCTCTCTAGACGGAGTTTCCGCCATGCTTTAGGGTGCCTGTTGTGGGGAAGGGAAGGGAAAGGAGTTTGTAAGCCGCTCTGAGACTCCCTTGGGTAGTAAAGGGTGGGGTACAAATCCAATCTCCTCGTCTTCTTCTTCTTCTTCTTCTTCTTCTTCTGAGGAACTTTGTGAGACAGGGGGCTGGAGTAGATGGACCCTCACTGGCCTGACCCAGCAGGGCTCTTCTGATGTTCTTCATCTGCTCTGCTACTGAGCCACAGACCCCTCTCCTAATATCTGCGCCCACAGCCCCTTCCAAAATTACTCACCAGAGTTGCGCGCTCCGACTCACGGAAGCTTCAACGGGAATAAACGCAGTTGGTCTCTAAGGTCCCGCTGGAATCTCCTGGCTACGGGGCACACACACACACCCCATCAGCACTGCCCATCATGGTTGGGGTGAGCTATTCACCAATCAGAAAAGGAAGCTCCGATTACGCCTGCGGTAGCCGGGCAGACCTGGCGTCGCAGCTTACCGGCTTCGAAACACTTTCTCTTTCGCCCCGGCGAGATCTGCCCAGCGCAACCCTGGAGGTTTGGGGTATTCCCCACCCCCCAATTGACGAATCAGCTGGTCCAGCCTCCTGCTCCGGTTCGCCGCTTGCGCCGTTCCCATTGCAGCCACAGCAGAAACAGGATCCGGGCTCTTGTCGCTGCGCTGGCGACCACTTGCCGGGGCTCCAGGTAGTGGAGGCCGCCCCAGTACACCGAGGCTTTCTTGAAGAGGGGGGGAGACATTGGGTTGAGAGCAGTATTCCCTCTAAGCTGAGTTAGTGTGAGCTAGTTAGCTCACAGTTTTTTAGCCTCCCGGCTCACACATTTTTGTCTTTGCTCAGGAAGGGAGGGCTCCAGAGCAAACTAATTCATGCAGGAGCCAAATCGCTCGCTCACAACTGTAATGCCAGTAGTAATGGCACAAAGTAGAATTTTTGCTCACAAAGTGAAAAGTACTGAGAAACGCTGAGTGATTTCAGCAAAGTACTTTTATTCGGATAGAACAGGACAAAGATTGCCGGCTCGCAGGCCGGTTTATATGCCCAGAAAACCCACCACCAAAACACACCCCCTACTACACCATAGGCTATTTACAGTAGCCGAGAGTCCCATAGGCTCTCGGCACGGCGGACCTGGCCCTCTGATAGGTACGGGCTAGGATCCGCTTGGCTATTGTTCATGGGGAGCAAAGCTACAGACCTTTGCATGACCGCATGGCCCAACGGTCGCGCACGTGGTCATGGCGGAGTACATTACACAAAGACTCCACAGTTTAGAGGGAGCATTGGACCACCCCTGCCCTTGTGATCACTGACTGCACTCAAGAGCTTGATAGAGCAGTCATCGAAAGAGCTCTCTCAGCCCCACCTACCTCATGGGGGCGGTTTTCGCACTAGACCTTAAATCCTGGTTCAACCCTGACCCTGAACATACATTCTACACTACAGGCGAGTTCACCCCTGTAATTATCTCGAGGCATATTTTTTGTTTCCACATTACATTGCGGTCACCCTGGTTTCGCCCCACACTTGTCCCAGGATAACGGATGATGTTATAACCAGGGATGAATGCAAGGTACTGTGTTGCGAGTTGAACTCTGATAAGACCAGGGATGAGATCAGTGCTCCCTCTAAGCTGTGGAGTCCAGTGAGCAAAAATTCTACTTTGTGAGCTATTGGCATTGAAGTTGTGAGCAGGTGATTTGTAAAGTAAAGGTCAAGGTTTCCCTTGCTCGAAAGCCAGTTGAATCCGACTCATCTCTGTTTCCAAGCCGAAGAGCCAGCGCTGTCCGAAGACGTTTCTGTGGTCATGTGGCCGGCGAGGCCCCCTGAGCCAGAACCTGCGGCCGCGGAAGCCCCGGCACCACCTTTAACGCCCGCTCCGGAGGTCAGGCCTCCCGAGGCCCCAGCACAGGGACCCAGACGCTCAGCAAGGGTACGACAGCCCCCAGCGTACCTGAAAGACTATGTTTCATAGGGCAAGGTCCGGACTATGGGGGGAGGGGTGTAGTGTCCGCTGACCGCCACCGGAGGTCAGCGCATATGCCCAAGCTTCAGTCCGAAACAACAATGGGGACTAGGATCCTAGTCCCTCCACTGGGGAACCAATGGGATCCGTGGCGGGAGATTTGAACCCACCAATGGTGACCAGGGGCGGTCCCCAGGCGTGTATATAGTTGGCCTGCCGGCCGTTTATCCCTTTGTCTTGTTGTGTGCTAATAAAGCGTGCTATGCACCACGTCGTTGTCTGTCGTTCATCCATGCGGCTACCCACTACATAACAGTTTCCACATTATATTGAGATCATCCTGCTTTCGCCACACACTTGTCCCGGGATAAACGGATGCTGTTATAATCAGGGATAAATGCAAGGTATTGTATCGGGAGCTTAACTCTGATGAAACCAGGGATGAGATCCAAGTGCAGAAAGGACCCTGAAAGAGATTTTCAATGCACTTTCCAACTGGAATTTGCCAGTTCACACAGTAAAATCCACTTGGAAATTGCACTGAAAGTGGATTATGTCATGTGTGTGACCGCACCTTATGAGAACACAAGAAGAATCGTGCTGGATGAGACCAGTAGTCCCTCTACTAGAGTCCAGTGGCAGCAGACCAACAATGTTTTATTCCAGGTTTAAGCTTTTGTGTGCCTGCAGACTTCCGTGGTGGGGGAGGAAAAGAGCCAGAGAGAGAGAGAGACATACCCCCCTCCCCCGTGTTTAAGACCAACAGCGTTTTATTCAGGGAGAAGAAAACGGCTGTAAACGCCAGCTGTCTGTGGAACATTTTTCAAAACTGATCCGTTTGTTAGGGTCGCCAGCTCTGGGTCGGGAAATCACTGGAGATTTGGGGTTGGAGCGGAAGGACCTCAGAGAGCTATAATGCCATTGGGCCTCCCGTTATCCAACTCAAGAGGCAGCGCTGTGAGCCGGGATGGCCCAGTTCCAGCAGCTACGGACTGACTGGGGAAGGAGGCCTTTAGGACAAATGGACAAGGGCGGGGTAAAGTTTGGCCCCTTCATTGTCTTTGCTGATGCCTTCCCTTCTCTTCCGTGCGATGAAAGGAAGGAAAAATATCGACTTTTGGGGGGGGCATCGACTTCAGGGATTATTGTGGTGTGGAAAGCAAACTAAATCTTCACACATGCTGATGCACTTTCTATCTCCTTCCCCTTCCTCTCCCCACAACAGACACCCTGTGAGGTAGGCGGGGCTGAGAGAGCTCTGAGAGAACCGTGACTGACCCTAGGTCACCCAGCTGGCTGCATCTGGAGCAGTGGGGAATCAAACTTGGTTCTCCAGATTACTTAACCACTACTCCGAACTGGTTCCAGGGGGGTGTGCTGCGTCCATCTGTGCAGCCCTTCAAAGGAATGCACTCTCAACAATCCGATCCCCACGTCATTTTGTTTTACTAGGTGTGTTTACCTTTGGATTCAACTGTTGTTCTCATATAACTCCCACCAAGCACGGAATTACACATGCCTTTAACAGCACTCACAAATCTTCACAAAACGTGAATGTAATTCTCAAAATCTATTCATACACAAGTAATACTTGAGAACCTCCACTGGGGGAAAAATGCTTCTAATTAAACCAGTCCTAAGTAATGGGGTGCAGCAGGCACTGCTGAGGGGCGAAGGGGTTTATGTTGCTTTGTATTTTTTTAAATATGAATTTATAAGCTGCTTTGAGCTATAGGGAAAGTGGGGTATAAATATTTTAAATGAACAAATCAAGGATTTAACAAGTCTGTTCAGAGAGGCCCCAGGAAAGCGGAACGGTCCACTGAATAGGGCTCCAGGGGTGGGCTCGGCTCCAATCCCACCACCACTACTGGGGGTGGGGGGGGGAAGGGGACCAGAAACTGACCTGTTTTCATAACTCATGAGACAGGATACCAGGCAAGTCTTACAACTGGCCCCACTGGTGGACCTCCTGATGGCACCTGGTCTTCTTGGCCACTGTGTGACAGAGTGTTGGACTGGATGGGCCACTGGCCAGATCCAACATTGGCTTCTCTTATGTTCTTATGTTCTAACTTTACACCAGAGGAGCGACCCTGGTTTACTCCCCATCAAGAGGGCCCCTGAAGCGCTGGCACAGCATACCCATAGCCACGGCGAGGCACTGCGGGGCTCCGCCCCCTCACATGTGAGGCACGCCCCACAACAGCTGCTGCCCCTCTCCCCTCCCTCACCTGACATTAAAAGGACACTCCAGCTGATCAGTGGGAGCATGTGGCCCCTCCAATCAGTTGGAGGGCCCTTTAAATCTTCAAGCCGCCCCTTTCCCTCCCCTCGGCCAAGATTTAAAGAGCCCTCCAGGTGATCAGTGAGCCCTTTAAATTCTGCAAGCGGAGAGTTCAAGGAAGGTGTGTGGCCGCCCTTCTCCCTCCCCTCCCCTTTCCACCCCCCCAATTTCCCCAATCCCCCACCAACCCAAAATTTCTGACTATGGGGCTGCAGCATACCCCTAGCAGGGGGCTGGGGAGCACAGAGACTGGGACGTCTCAGTTTAGAAAAGAGATGAGTAAGGCAGGGGTGTCAAACGTGTGGCCCGGAGGCCAAATCAGGCCCCCGGAGGGCTTCCGTCAGGCCCACACTGGAACTGGCCATCTCCTGCTTCCAGTTCCGTTGCCACTGCTGCATCATAGCTTGCTTCGCCGGACTCTCTCAATCGCTCAGCCAATTCATGTTTTAACCTGGGTCCTAGACTCAGAACTCTGAGCATGAGATTTCTGTGGTGAATGTCAATAAATCAGAAGTAGGTTTGCAGCTTACAGGCACCCACCTGAACAGCATACTCAAGATTGCAACAGCACAGACGTTTTGATGCAATCATTCAGAGCAAGGGGTGTCCGTTATCAGACAGTGTTCAATAAACAAAATATTGCAAGAGTGCTAATGTTTTAAGCATGTTTTTATTTTAAGCAAAAAACCGCCTTTATGTTTGTGCCCTTTATAAAGGTTATATCTCCGCTACCCGGCATTAGATTTTATGACACACGTGGCCCGGCCCAGCAAGGTCTCATTTATGTCAGATCCGGCCCTCATAACAAATGACTTCGACACCCCTGGAGTCAGATCTCCTCTTAAGCTGCAGCAGCACCCTGCCCAAGCAAAGGCTCCCTCCCCCCAGGGGTCAGCCAGCTGCTTCCCTCCCGACAGCAGCAGCCCCATCTGGGACTGGGGGATGAGGGGAGAGGGCAAATTCTGGAGGAAGCGTTGCTGCAAGCCCCCCATAGTGACGGGCCTGCTGGTGTGATTCCCGTTCCTGCAATAAATAATCTGGCCACTCCACATGTGGCACTCCCAACTGGTTATGCTGGGGCACAGAAGGGCTGTTGCCAACTCCCGGTTTGGACATTCCTGGAGATTTGGGGGGGTGGAGCTTGGGGGAGGGACCTCAGTAGAGTACGATGCCGTGG